TTTTCTGTCTCTGTCTCTCTCTCTGTCTCTCTCTCTGTTTCTCTCTGTTTCTCTCTGCCTCTACCTCTCTCTCTCTCTCCCCGTCTCTCTCCCTCTCTCTCTCCTTCTGTCTCTGTCTCTCTCTCTGTTTCTCTCTGTCTCTCTCTGTCTCTACCTCTCTCTCTCTGTCTCTCTCCCTCTCTCTCCCTCTCTCTCTCCCTCTCCCTCTCCCTCTGTCTTTTTTTGTCTCTCTCTCTGTTTCTCTCTGTCTCTCTCTCTTTCTCTCTGTCTCTCTCTTTTCTCTCTCTCTCTCTCTCTATATATATATCAATGGGACGTGGTGGCTCAATGGCTAAGACACTGAGCTTGTCGATCGAAACTTCGGCAGTTCAGCGGTTCGAGTCCCGAGTGCCGCGTAATGGGGTGAGCTCCCGTGACTTGTCCCAGCTTCTGCCAACCTAGCAGTTCGAAAGCATGTAAAAAATGCAAGTAGAAAAATAGGGACCACCTTTGGTGGGAAGGGAACAGCATTCCGTGCGCCTTTGGCGTTGAGTCATGCCGGCCACAAGACCACGGAGACGTCTTCGGACAGCGCTAGTTCTTCGGCTTTGAAATGGAGAGGAGCACCGCCCCCTAGAGTCGGGAACGACTAGCACATATGTGCGAGGGGAACCTTTACCTATACTTATACATACATACATACAGAATGAAATTTTGGCTGCTCTTCTCCTGGGTTAAATCTGCACCTCTTAGAGTTGTGAAAGGAAGGCAGTGAGAATAATCAAAATATTGGAACGGGTTTCTTTAAGGAATTTTTGCAAAGCAGCAAGCGAGTTTTTAGGAAGGAGAAAAAAGTGTTAATTGAGGAAAGAAGACGATGGATTTGACAGCGGATGGAGTCAGGAATGCTAAACACAACTTTCCCAGCCACAAAAGTTGATTCTGGTTATAAATCTTGGAAAAATTTGCTGGGTGTCACCAAGTTTGTTTTGTGTTTTTAGTCCAAGTCACAGTTTTTGGACAACATGTCCCCAGATTTCAAAGGAGGATTAATAACTGCACCTTCCTCCTTTCCTGTTTATGTATAACCAGCCTATTCTTCGTGACAAACAGGACTTTCTAATTAGGGAAAATGAGGATGTAACTATATATGGGGCTGGTATATAATTGCTGCCTCTGTCATTTCTTACCAGTCCTGCAATGGTACACGATGGTTGAAATTTTATTGGCTGTCAGTAACTCAAAGGAGAAACTTTAATCTGCGTTTTATTTGTTTTGCTGCAAAAAAAAAAAAAAGAAAAAAGAAAAAAAGATTTAGATTTGTTTCTTTTAGCGTATTTTTTAAGGGCTTGCAATTAATCTACCCAAATTGATTTTGGTTAACGTTGGCTTGAGTTAGATTTATACCAGTAAGACAATAAAACTGACTTCTGAAGGATTCCTGGTTCCCCAGAGATATGTTCAGATAAACTTTCAATATAAACATCTTAAAAGTTTTTTTTTTAAAAAAACACAAAAACATTTAAATTTACACTCCGGTATATTTCACTCTTGAAAAATGCTGTAATTTCAAGTGAAATGATGGTATGTGGGCATTTATGGCAGTAAATCCTTCTGTTTCTTTTCTTTCTTTCTTTTTTTTATTTGTCCCCATCTGTTGATTGTTTTGGTGCCTCCGGAAATCATAGGAGGTTTTTAAGAAGAGACTGGACAGTCACTTGTCTGAAATGGCATAAGTCAGTGTTGGCAAACCTTTTCGGCACTGAGTGCCAAAATGGGAGCATGCATGGGCGTGCATGGGAGCACTGGAAACCGGAAGAGCAGCTCTGTGGTATGCATGTGCACACCGGGAAGCTGAACTTCCGGTTTCTGGCAGGCACATGCTCACCAGTCACCTGGTCTTCCTGTTTCTAGCATGCATGCACGCGAGAAGACTAGCTGGCCAGCGCATGTGCGCGCTCCGGAAACCAAAAGCTGAGCTTCCTGGCACGTGCATGTGTGCCAGGGAGCTGGTCTCCTGGTTTCCAGCACTTGACCTCCTGCACCCCCCTGAGAGCAAAAACAGGCCGAGGGGGGGGCACCGCCCCTCGCCTGCCCCGTTTTGGGCCTAGTAGGCCTCCCGCGAGCAAATATGGGCTGTGGAGGGCCCGTTTTCAACTTCCCCGGGCTCCAGAGACTCTCTGGAGGCTGTAAATAGGCCCATTTTCACCCTCCACAGGCCTCTGGGAGGCCCATTTTCCACCTCCTTTAGCTCAACGCGCCCCCTGCGCTTACCTGGGATCCAAAAGGGGCCACGTGGGGACTCCGGGGAGGGGAGGGGTGGGAGGGGCAGGGCCAGCCAGTCATCTCAACTACCAGTTCGCCGAACCGGACATAACATTAACATCTGGTTTGCCCGAATTGGTCCGAACCGGCTGCTCCCATCTCTGATGGAACCCAGGAAACGTGAGCTTTTTCTCTGGGCCATTGTTGCTGAAGCTCATCAACTTGAAGATATGTGGACTTCGACTTTCAGAATTCCTCCAACCAGCATGGGACCTCTAGGAGTTGAAGGCCAACATCTTCAAGTTGTTGAGGTTGAGAATAAAGAGTGCTCTGCATCTTTCCCTGTTGAGAAATACATATTAGCTTAATGCTTTTCTGGTAGCGGTGGTGGAACTTCAGACATTCTTCTCAAATTCCTGTAAATCAGTTGAGGAGAGGGCTTTCTGCGGAAGACTGCTTCCATAAATTCCAAAATAATACAATTGGAGATAGAAAAAAGACCACAGCCCAGAATATTTCCTTCTGCATTACAAACAATGCTGGGATTCAGCCGGTTCGGGCGAATGGGTAGTGACGATCTGCTGGTTTGGCCACCCACCTGTCCGGCGGAATCCCATCCTATATTGCTGTGTTTTTGACGTTGCACGCATGTGCAGATGGCACGCGCAAGTGAATTGCCATGTTGTTTGATGTCACACACATGTGGATGGCGCACCTGAGCGAATTGCTATGTTTTGTGACGCCGCACGCATCACATTTCCGATGCTGGGCGAACTGGTTGTTACAATATGTGAAGTCCTCTGATTACAAACATCATATCTCGTGTGAGAGAAATGTTCCTTTCCTTCTGTCCTAGGGAAGAAACATTTAACGAAGGTCACAGAAAACGAACCCCTAAGCTTTATAGTTATTTACAGACTTCATCCTGAATTCGTTTGAAGTTTGGAACAGGGAAACCTTGGTGTCTTTGCAGAGTGAAATATAATATCTTTGTTTAAAAAGTTTTTTTTTATTTTTTTTTAAACAAACATACATACAAACAAGCAATACATACTTAATCGTTCAGTATTTCATGTGAGTACATATTTTGTGTCTTCTCCTCCTTCCTCCATCATTTTCATATATTTCTATCACACCTTTATATTTTCATTTAGATTGTTACATCATCCTTCCCAAACTTCTTATGTTTATATTAATTCATCAATTATCTAAATTTATATATATATATATATATATATATCTTCTCTAACCATTGATGTAATTGCCCCCATATTTTAAAATAATCCGATTCTTCCTTTTCTTTAATTACCAATGTTAATCTATTCATTTCTGCACATTCCAATATTTTCTTAATTACTTCTCCCTCTAAAGGGATTTTCTCTGCTGTCCAATTTTGCGCAAATACAATTCTCGCTGCAGTTAACAATAGGTATAATCAAATAAGTATTTACTATATTTCTCTGGTAAGATACCCAATAGGAACAGTTCAGGTTTTAAATCAACTTTGTTGTATCATTTCCTCTAACCATATTCGGATTTTAACCCAATAATTTCTCGCTTCTGGAGACGTCCACCACAGATGATAATACGATCCTGGTACCTGATGGCATTTCCAGCATTTGAGATATAATATTTTTCAGCGGGTGTTAGAAAAAAGGGAAACCCGAACGGAGAAGACGACGATGTAAAATTGACTTCACGCAATGTCTTCCCCTTGGCGTGTCCCACATAAAATATGCACGAATTTAATCCCGTCCGTTGCTGTTTTTCCCCTCTCTCAAGCAGAGACACCTCTATCGCTGCACTTTAGCAGATTTTCAGATTGAGAAGAAAATTGGGCGAGGACAATTCAGCGAGGTCTACAGAGCGACTTGTCTTCTGGACAGAAAACCGGTGGCATTAAAAAAAGTACAGGTAAGAATGTCTGCGGAGATTCTCAAAAATCATCCAGGTCATGATTATCCCGAAGGTTTTCCCCCCCTCCTTCAAAAGGCAACCGGACTTTGTTTTTCTTTGAAGAGGTTTCGCTCCTCCTTCTCCAAGAAGCTTCTTCAGTTCTGATTGAATATAAAGCCATCCGTTCCCACCATTCAGTCAGAACTGAAGAAGCTTCTCGGAGGAGGAGAAGTGAAACCTCTTCAAAGAAAAACAAAGTCTGCTTGCCGATTATGTGACCACAGGACGCTGTGATGGTCATAAGTACGAGGACCAGTCGTAAGTCACTTTTCCCAAGCACCGTGGTCATTTCAAACAGCCGTTGAATAAATCATTGCACATCCAGTAGAGGCCTACCTTGAGAGTGGTACATCCACTTCCATTAATAAGATATAATCAGCTGAGCTCCAAAAATGGATTTTGGCATTAAGAGCCTTTTGTTTTCCAATTAGTCCATGTGACATGCAGAAGAAAACACATTTATTTTGTCAACAGAAAACCATCGTAACGTGATAAAACCTGCTAGATCTTTTATTTGTAAATGTTCGGTACATTCAGCAAATATTCTCAAAATTTGCATTCCAGTTACGGATGGCAGTTGCTTCAGATTTTCGTGTTTTTTACTTTTTCAGGTCGAAAACTTGAGAAGTTAACGAACTGCGTGCTGTTCTTTGTATTGGTAGCTAGGGTTTGTTTTTTTTTTTTTTTTGCTTTATATGTGGATGTTATTTAAGCCTGTAAGAATCGTGAGGAGTGGGGTACAGGCAGGTTTGAAAAGGGAAGGGGGTTAAGACAGGTGGGATTCAAAAATTTTAGCAACTGGTTCTCTGCCCAGTTGCTCGGATGGCCATGGTGGGCGTGCCTACTTAGCCTCCGGCACCATGGCCGGGTAGGGGCATTTTTGCCCTCCCCAGGCTCTGGAGGCTTTTCTTGAGCCTCCAGGAGGGTGAAAACGGGCCCATTTCCAGAGTTCCGGAACTTCCAGGAGGCCCATTTTTCACCCTCCCAGAGCCTTCGTGCAGGCCCTGCACTTACCTGGCATCCAAAATGGGCCACGTGGAGACTCCTGGGAGGGGCAGGGCAGGATTGGCAGGGCCAGCCAGTCTTTGCAACTACCGGTTCGGCGAACCAGATGTAAAATTCTCATCCGATCTGACTGAATTTTTTTTTTTTTAATTTGATTTATATGCCGCCCTTCTCCGGAGACTCAGGGCGGCTTACAAGGCGTTAAGCAATAGCCTTCATCCTTTTGTATATTTATACAAGTCATCTTATTGCTCCCACAAACTGGGTCCTCAATTTACCTACCTTAGAAAGGATGGAAGGCTGAGTCAACCTTGAGCCTGGCGAGATTCGAACTTACAGTAATTGCAGACAGCTGGTGTTAATCACAATGCTTTTAGTTTGCTGAGCTACCAGGCCCGTAGCCCGAATCCCACCCCTGGGGTTAGAGCTTTTTGAAAATTGCAAGAGACTCGTTTCGTCTTGGTCCTTAAACATGCTACTTTTTTTCCCTCTCTTTCTGAAGATATTTGAGATGATGGACGCAAAGGCCAGACAAGATTGCATTAAAGAAATTGATCTTTTGAAGGTAAGAATCCCTCCGAAATTGAATGCTTACTGAAACGGAGATGGTTTATTTTCAATGATTATCTGGGACGGTGGAGGAGGGCCAGCTTCCGGTTGCTTTCAGCGCTCATCTTTGACGTCATGTCTGTTTGTGAAGCCCTTGCAAAAATAAACGGCGGTCATTGATAAGAACTTATTTTTGCTCTGGTAGACTTTGGCAAAAGACCTGCTGATTCCTTGCACGATTTGGGAGCTAATTTCAGGATGGTAAAAAAGAAAATCAGATGCCTTGGTAAAAACTGTCCCAATCGCTTCTAAATTCTAAATTCTGGTTTAGAGGCAGTCAAGAATGCATGATGCTCCTTGATCTATTATTGCAAAAGTTGTTTGGTTGTTTTTATCCGATGGCTCATGGCAGAAATCTCACAGGAAGTGAGGTCCACTGAGATCTATCTCAAGGAGAGCACGCCTCTTTTGTCGTTGTTTGGGCTAGGACAGCGTTGGCAAACCTTTTCGGCACCGAGTGCCAAAACGGAGCGTGCGCACGTCCGTGCGTGCCGGAAACAAGAAAAGCAGCCCAGTGGGGAAATGAGTCGAGGTGGCGCAGTGGTTAGAGTGCAGTACTGCAGCTACTTCAGCTGACTGCTAGTTCAGCAGATCAGCGGATCAAATCTCACCGGCTCAAGGTTGACTCAGCCTTCCATCCTTCCGAGGTGGGTAAAATGAGGACCCAGATTGTTGGGGGGCAATATGCTATTTAGTATACTGTCTTTGGTTTATGCCGCCCAGAGTCCTCGGAGAGTGGGCGGCATAGAAATACGAATAATAAAATAAATAAATAATAAATGAATATAATGTAAAATTTGTTACCACCGGTTCTGTGGGCATGGCTTGGGGGAGGGGGTAATATGACTGTGTGGGCATGGCCAACTTTTTTTTTTTTTACTTTTAAAAGCATTTTTTCTACAACCTCTTCGGTTGAAGAGGTTGTAGAAAAAATGCTTTTAAAAGCCTCTGACGATCCCAGCTGAGTTGCCTGATGGCAGAGGCTTTCTTTTTTTTTTTAAAGCCTCTGACGATCCCAGCTGACTTGCCTGATTGGCGGAGGCTTTTTTTCCTTTTAAAAACATTTTTTCTATAACCTCTTCGGCAGAAGAGGTTGTAGAAAAAATGGTTTTAAAAGCCTCTGACGATCCCAGCTGAGCTACGCAAACTGGGAGCATTTCACCCCTGGAGCAGCTGCCCGGTGTGCATGCGCACGCCCTGAAGATGATCTTCCGGTTTCTGGCACGTGCATGCGCACCGCTGGTCTTCACACGTGCATGCATGCCAGAAACCAAAAGACCAGTGGCCAGTGCGCATGCACACGCCGGAAACCAGATCATCTTCCTGGCGCATGCCTGCGCACCGGGCAACTGCTCTTCCGGTTTCCTGCACTCCCGCGTAAGTGAAGACCAGCTGGCTGGCACGCCAGAACCCGGAAGAGCAACGGGCTCGCATGCCCGGAGAGATGGCTCTGCATGCCGCTTCCGGCACGCGTGCCATAGGTTCGATCATCACGGGGCTAGGATAACTGTAGCTCCTTTTTCTCCCCACTGGAAGCTGAAACAGACCCATGTCTATGGAGATCCTCAGCCATCCAGGTCATGGTTGTCCCAAAGGTGCTTTTTCAAGAGGCAGCTGGACTTCCTTTGTTTTTCCCTGAAGACGTTTCGAGAAGCGAATGAGCTGAAGAAGCTTCTCGGATGAGAAGTGAAACATCTTCAAATGAAAACCAGAAAGTCCCGTTGCCTCTTGGGGGGAGGGGAAAGCACCTTTGGGAGAAACAGACCCATAGCTTCCCTACTAGAGAATGTTGTTGTTCTGTCCCCGTCTCACACACGCACACAAACAGACAGCCGGAGGTTAAATAAAACTGGCAGACAACAAATTCTTTCGATAAGAGGCTTGGCAGCAACCCAGTAGCTGCTTGCCAAGAACTTTACTCAGAGGGAGGGGTTGTTCCTCTGACAGATAACCCAAACAAGATACACACAGTTCAAGAATTGTCAAGTCCAGTCCGTATTAAATCCAAGGCAGATAACGTTGTTTCAGAGATACAATGTGACTCGCTAGTAGTTTGTTTTGTCCGTCACAGAGTCTGAATGGCCACCTCACCCCCTTTTATCCCCTGTGGGTTGTGGTCCAGTGACTCAGCCTAATCTCTGGCATGCCTCCTCTTCTGCTGCGCGCGCCTGTCTCTCCAATGCTGGCGTGAATCCAGCCAAGACTTATCTCCGTCACTGTCCGACTGCGAGGAGATACCTGGCTCCTGGTTAATCTCTTCTCCTTCAGGAGACACCTGAGGCATTGCCAGAGAGGAGGGTCCTGGAGAGGGAGGCCTGGGCAACTCCTCTCCTTCATGTTCGGAGCCTTCTCCCTCCGTTAACACAGGCTCAGGTAATGGAGCCACAACAGTTGTGGCCCGCCAGCAACCAGCGGATCTGGCAGCAGATTCAGAGAGTGAGGAGGTTGGGGAGGAACATGGGCCAGTCCTGGAGTCTGGGGAAGGCTCTGATGAGGGCTCTGCGTTGGAGGCAGAGAGGAGGCCGGGGCCGTCTGACGGTTATCAGCTGCCTTCGGAGTCAGACATCAGTGAGGCAGAGGAACAGCTGGAGCCTGTTTCCAGTGTGGGCATGCACAGAGTTGCCAGACGAAGGGAATAGCTAAAGAACAAGGGTCGACTTGGGAGTAAGGCCACAAGTGGACAATGAATGGCCCCTCCCATAGGGAATAAAAGAGGAGCGAAAGGGGAGGGGTGTTTGCAGGAGACGATTAGTTCATTCCTGTATTCTTGGTGTCTGAAAGATATCAGCCTGGCTACTCTCCAAGCCTGATAAAGGTCGGTAATTGTGAACTATCTTGAAAGACTGTGGGAGAGGAAAGACTCTGCTGGAGAGGAATTCACTGTAAATTAAATAAAAGGGGTTTATCGGGACGAGGACTCGGCTTCGTGCTGCTGGGGAAGCCTAGGTCAGAATAGAGAAGTGTTCTGCCCCAGCTCCCGATTCCCAAGGATATTGACACACACCAATGGTCCTTATCAAATTTATTAAGTAGCAAGAATAAACCAAAGTCCGGCAAGGGTTGGCAACCAGCCCAGAAAACAAGATATGATAAGACTTTTCCAAAAATGCTCTGATGATAATTACAAGTTGTTTCTAGCAAGAAATTACTAACTGAGTGTGACTTAAATAGGCTAAGGGAGTGGCGAATTATCCTCAAGTCTTACTCTCGAGGAGACCTCCTCCTCCTGGGTAGCCACTCCTGCCTTTTGGCAGCCCTGCGTGCTTGAACATTGAGGAGAGGCTCCTCCACTTCGCTCTCTGCACTTGAAGGAGCCTCTGGAGGTTCTGAAGGCCCTGGCTGAGTCTCTGCCTCTGGCACCACATCCTCTTCGGCCTCCTTGCTGTCCGACGTGAGCGCCGGCTGCGCAGGCTGCTGGCGCAACACCACACCAGCCTCCTCGTCGTCGGGATCAGCCACGATCCACGCAGGCCGCTGGCGGGGCACAACAAGAAGAGATTGCGTACTTCATGCTGTTCTCTGAGCTTGATGAGTTCTCCTGCAGATGTGTGGTGACCAGGCTTAGACAAACCTCATCCGTGCACCGCAGGAAAACCCACCAAGCTCGGAGCACCTCAGGAACCCAAACGCCATGCAATGGTCCTGAACTGGCGAGTCCTTCCTTTTCCAAGAAGGAAAGAATGCAGCCTTCCACCGGCACCCATTTGGCCCACGGAGGAGGCCGCATCCGAGCTGGTTTTCCGAGAGAGGCGCTAAGTGGAAGGTGACGGGAAAGCGAAGGTTGCCAGATCAAAAGACGGGGATGGTGAGCTGCAATGTGACGGTGCTAATTTTCCGCCCAAGAAAGCTGCAGGGGGAAGATGCTTCCCCAGATGGTATGGGATGGAGCCCATCCAAGATGTCCACACCAGTTAGGATCAAGGGGTGGGTGAAACCGGGAGCGCTCGGGGTGACAAGGGAATCAAGATCTTCCCACCCGTGTAAGATGCCTGAAGGCAGCTACAGATCTTCCCGTGTCAACCTCACCAGGAAACCAGATGTTAAGTTGTGAATATTGCATTAGCCGGGCTGTGAAGAGAAAAATGTACGGAGATGATACGGGGATAATTAGCACTTTCCTCTCCAATGCCTTGTACACTTTCTAACGGGTTTTTTTTTTCCTCCTCTCCACTTTTGGATTTAATTAAGGCCTCTGAACAACGTCCTCGCTTGGGCAAAGTTAAGACTTTGACCTAGATCTCTGTGAAATGAACATCTGTTTGCCTCCGGTCCAGAGTTGGTATTCAGCCGGTTCGGGCCAGTTCTCCCGAACCGGTAGTGGAAATCACAGGTGGGCCTGCCCACCTGCCCCGGCTCTATGCCATCCTATTTAGGCACAGTTTTGAGTCCGGGCGCATGCACGGAAGGCACGTATGCAAGCAAAGTTCATGCGCAGAAAATAGGTGCATGCGCGAACCGGGCGCGCATGTGCACGAAGCAATCATGCGCACATGCGGTGAACCGGTAATAACATAATGCGAAACCCACCGCTGATTCGGTCCCTGTATTTATGAAATTGATACCAATAGACCATGAGAATATTGATAGCTCAGGATTGAACTGGGGGGTTCTTTGGTGCTCTCTGAGCTTGGTGATTTTCTTCCAAACGTTTCACAACCCTCTACCGTATTTTTCGGAGTATAAGACGCACCTTTCCCCCCTCCCCTAAAAGGGGGTGAAAATTTAGGTGCGTCTTATACACTGAATGTAGCCCCGCCCACCCACTGGCCCCCACCCTTTGGCCTCTGCCTCCCAGCAGTTTACCTCCTTGCAGCAAGCAGCAAGAAGAAACAGCTCGTTTCAGCTTCAGCACGGCCTAATTAGCAAAAGTCGATTGGATCGGCCTCCCGACTCTCAGCTGTTCTGCTCTCAGCTGTTTTGCGGGGGGCCTCTGCTGCTTGCTGCAAGGAGGTAAAT